CCTAGAGAATGAGAAAATGGAGGCAGCACGAGGTAAAATGCCTTGTCCAAAGTTACACAGTTAACTGCAAAAGAGAGGCAAGACTAGAGATCAAGTTTCCTCACTCAAAATCCTATGGTATTTTTAAAAATAAAATAATGCATTTTTACTAATCATTAAAAAAAAATTCTGCCAATTTAGAAAATTTTTTTTGTTTAATTTTAGACTCCAGGATAGAAAATAGAAATTATTAAGCTCTAAGTTAAAAAAAAAAAAAACCAATAAGCACAACACAAAGAAATATCTGCAATTTAGCATATACAAACAAGTTGACTTATACAACAAAAAGCCTTAACGCTACAATAATAATAAAGTAATCCATCCTACTTCAGGAAATATGATAAAATATCAACCTTAAAAAATCTTTAAAGACTAACTTTACCAGTTAATGGTAATTAGCAAAATAATGAAACAGTGAATCTTCAAAATCTGAATTATTTCAAGGTGAAAAAACTTGTTTAATCTCTATTGGGAAAAACTGGTGACAGTGACCAATAAAATGAGCATAAAGTATAAGCAACACTTTCACACCAACAAAAATATTCAAGAAAGAACATAACAGATTTCCTGAGGCAGATGATGATTAAAAAAGTAATCTGAAGGAAATTATCCTTCAATGCATTTCAACAGATTGAACTACTATGTCTTAGGAAGTAAGTAATGTAGTGGTTTGGTGTTTGAGTGAAAACTTTACTTTCTTTTATATTTATGTCAACAGAATTTTACTTCCTAATTAGAGATCACAGAATAAGAAACATGTTTAACTCATATTAAATCTTTATATATTAAATGTTTATAAATCAACCAAATAGAAATGTCTACAAGGATGGCTGATTCTGGGTAGACTTTAACATTTTCATTCTTAGAAGACTTGGATCCTGAGAGAAAACTGTAATCCTATATCAATTTAATGACTAAAGAGGAGCACAGGATTAAGATTAAATCAGTAAAAAACCCAAGAGACTGATTACAGTCAGACGGAAGGCATAGTCTTCCTACTCCTTTCCCAAATTCATCTAATTGGAACAAAAGAAGGAGAGAAAAGAATGAAATTATGAAGAGATGCCAACACAATTATTTTCATACAAAATAGGTCAAAATTATGTAAGAATAATGTATAAGATTATACAGCTACTAGGAAATACAGCTGTATTAAATGTAAACATTTTTTCTTAATCAGTTGTAAAACTACATAAAAACACTTAAAAGAATCATGAGTTCCTTTGTAAATCTAGGTTCCATAAAAATGCTATCCTTTGTGAGTGAATGGAGAAAAAATCCTTACTTTACACAGTTTAAAAAAATTATAAATGTGTACAATTCTCATAGTGTGATGACTTAAAATGTAAAGTTTTGCCATGATGAAAACCAACAAGTGAATGACTTTTTCAAAACTGTTCTCAATCAGAAAGAATTAGGTACATAAAAGCCAAAAAGTCAAAGACAAGAAACGTTATAGGGTCTACATTCTTCTTTATATATATATATATTTTTATAATTTAAGTCAAGCTAATGTACTTACACAATTTCATATAAAAGGAAAAATATAATGAATATCCCCAAATTTGTTCTAGAAATTCAACTACATAAAATTTGAGAGCATACTCCGGTATAACACATATTAAAGAACCAATACAATTTAAAAGCATAACCTACTTTTTAAAGGTTAATTGGATGACCGATTTAAAGACTGTACCAAATGAATACTGGTCTAATTGCCTTATTTTGTTTGTTACTGCTAAAAAGAAATACTAATGAAGACTGTAACTTTGTTTTCTACAGCGCCCCCCCAAATTCTAACAAAATCAAATGATATCAGTAGAACAATTTATGGATCAGGCATGGTGGCTCATGCTTGTAATCCCAGTGCTTTAGGAGGCCAGGAGTTCAAGACCAGCCTGGTCAACATAGTGAGAACCATCTCTACAAAAAATTTAAAAAATTTGAATTAAGCCAGATGCAGTGACTCATGCCTGTAATCCTAGCACTTTGGGAGGCTGAGGTGGGCGGATCACTTGAGGTCAGGAGTTTGAGACCAGAACAGCGAAACTCCTGGCCAACATGGCAAAACTCCATCTCTACTAAAAACACAAAAACTAGCCGGGCGTGGTGGCATGCACCTGTAGTCCCAGTTACTTGGGAGGCTGAGGCAGGAGAATCACTTGAACCCAGGAGGTGGAGGATGCAGTGAGCCAAGATTGTGCCACTGCACTCCACCCTGGGCAACAAAGCCAGACTCCATCTCAAAAAAAGAAAAAAAAAAATTAAAATTAGCCAGGTGTAGTGGTGCACGCCTACAGTCTTAGTTACTTGGGAGGCTGAAGCTGGAGGACTGCTTGAGCCTAGGAGTTCAAGGTTACAATGGACTATGATTATGCCACTGCTCTCCAGCCTGTGTGACAGAGCAAGACCCTGTCTCTAAAAAAAATTTTTTTTAAGTAGAATAATTTATGGCTTACAGAGCATTATAATAAATGTTATTTCACTTGATCCTTACAATATCCAGTGAGGGAGGCTAAAACCAAAAATTACCTTATCCACATTTTACACTGAAGAAACAAGGACTCAGAGAAATTAAATGACCAGCCCAGTTGACATCATGAGTTAAATTCCAATCCCATGGGAATTTTCATTACACTAGACTACGTAAGTCATCCAAATATGGTAATATGTAAATGTACCTTTGGCATGTCAAAAAGCAATATAAATATCATCATAATGAAATTTTGGTATGTTGATATTTTCTAAGCTCCAGCAAATGATTCACTAATTTATATAAAAAAATTAAGTTGTTCCTTTCATTTCACAGAGATATAGCCTAAACTAAGATGGGTACAATTTGAGTTATTTCCAGCTATTATCACAAAGAAATTGATGAGGTAGGTTAAAATGTAGTAAATTTTTCTAATTTGAACACATTCTTAGAATTTTTATAAATCTGCTCTAAGAGCAGCAGAAAAAGGAAGGTTGATTTGAAGATTAATTTACCCAACTGGTCCACAAAGATCTAACAGCATAAGACTAAAAGGAGTCTAATTACTCACTTCTAAGAATCATTCTTTATCTTCTAAAATTAATTAAAAGGATTGGTACATGTCTGTACATATATTTCTTTAATTACAATAGTGACATGGACTGTTATCTATGCAAAATATGTTTCATTCAGTGTATTTTACATGCTTATTACCTGCCATATATTATTCTGGTAAAGCAGAGACTTCATTTCAAATACATTGGTTAAATTTAGATCTTTCCAATTTCTTTGATGTGAGACTCAGTACTAGAGTAAAAGCAAGTTGTGTGACAAGAATTGTTCATTTAAATATTTATTGAAAAACTGTATGAAGCCCTGTGCCAGCTGAGTTATTGACCAATTGTTCTTTGAAACAAACTGTTTTGAGTTTAATATTATCTTAGATCTTTTGTCTAATTATTGAATAAAACAATGTTGCTGAAATCAAAGTACTTTTTGAAAAGCTTTTGATAATATATTAACATTTTAGAGAGAACTATAGTTTTCTCAGTTGTCAACTGAAAAAAGAAAACACTAAACATTATCATATGCCAATCAAAGTTAAACATATGGTAGGAAAACTGTCCAGACTTACTCAGATTGGTTTAAGCTAGTTGAGACTTGAAACTGCTGCCCAAACTAAATACTGTTGTTTAAAACCATGGATTAACAATATTACATAAATTTTGTGGGACAAAATTAAGATACTTACTGAAAGTAACTGAAAAGTCACTATAGTATTCCCATACATACCAACAATTAATTTGACAGAGAAAATACAAATGAATATATAAAAATGTAGAAGCACGAAGTTAAGATTTTCATAGTGATGTTCACTTAACTGTCTATACTTGGCCCACTTGTAAAAGAAAACCAATTAACATTTTGGCAGTTGATAATATAATGCAGATGGCAATGAATGACAACATCTTCGAGCTCAAACTGGTACCTTCTACATTAACTTATTTTTGTTTGTGAATGTTTGTTTTGGTTCTCTCATGCTGTTTGCAGGAGAGATTCTCAGACAAAAGCTTCATGAATTATTGATAAATGAGTTGTTATATGTTTGGCTTTCAGAGAAAATGTTTATTAATTGTCAGTTATGAGGGAATTCAGACCTACCTGCCTTGAGCATTAACTCCAGTTCCAAGGCAGTGAACACAGAGAAAAACTGAAAACACTTTGGGCCAAATATTCAAATATCTCCCATGAAGAGTAAGTCATATTATCATATATGTACTTTGAAATATATAACATAATAGACAAATTATTACTATCAGAAAACTGACTTTGCTGCCTGAAGAGAAGATTCTTTTTCAACACCTAACTTCTTGGCAGTTTTTGTTTTAAAGGGTGAGAAAGAAAGTACACATGAATTCAACACATCAAGGAATATACTACAGCAGTCCTCACACCTCTTAAATCCACAATAACCTAATCCCTTATCATTCATAATGCTTTATGGTTTTCAAAGAGCTTTCACAGAATTTTTTTTCACTTGGTCTTAATTTGACAGCTTTGTGAGGTAGGTAGAGTAGGTATTTATCTTCTATCTTCATTTACTAACAAGGGAACTGAGGCTCGGAAAGTTGAATTGTTAAAGGTCATAAACTATAACAGCAGAAGGCAGAGCCAGGCCTCTTCAGAGTCTAGAATAAATCTTCAAAGTATGATTCTTGGATTATCTGCATAAGAATCACCTGCAGTATTTTTATAACTACAGATTTTTAAAGTCCTATCACTTTGGCCTTACTAAGTCTAAGAGTGAAGCCCAGAACTCAGCATCTGATGCAGAACAACTGAATATCAGATAATGATATGAAAGCCAAAGACTGAATCCATGTGGATGTTCATGTGATATATGATGCCATCAGATCAGCAGGGGCAAGTTATAGTAGTGAGTTTCAAGCCAGGCTGCAGATTAGAATCACCTGGAAAGCTTTTTTCCTTTTTAAGAAAGCTACCAATTCTTACTTGTATGAGGAGAAGGTGTTAGGCATCTGAAGTAACCCAAGTGATTCTTATCTGCAGTCAGGGTTGAGGACCCTTGTTTAAATATGCATTTTACATAATACATCCAGCATGTTCCAGCATTTTTCTTTCTCTTCTGATTATTTCATGCCTAATAAGGTTTACAGTTTATATTGTAAATTATTTAAACATTACCAGATAAACATTTTTTACTTTTTTTAAGATTAAATGATATTCATAGTAAGACTACTAATCATGCTTCATTTAGCTACAGTGATTTTCCAATATCAAATCAATCACCACTTTGGACTGAGGTTATATATATTTCAGTTGTAAACAAGAATGATCCAGAATCTGAAAATAAGGGTGTGGGGCAAAAGCTGTAGCCTACTGGCTATTGGGCAAGGCAAGTGCAGACAATCAACTCACTATAGGAGGGCCTGGAAGCCAAGGTCTGGTGGCTTTGGCAAGATCACATCTCACTATAGAAAAATACAACAATGAATACAGAGAAAATGTTTTGCCATTTTGTAAGTGTGGTTACCACAAAGAACCTTATAATGTATGATGTTTATCTTATTACATGCCTCCACAAAGCAAATTTTGAACATTAAGTTCTGTATGAATCAATACTATTACATGGGAAAAGATGGCCACAAATTAAAATTTTTCCATCATGCATATGGATAAGTTATAAAAACACAGCCAGTAAAAGTAATATTTACAAAAGTTAGAAAAACAGCACAATTATAGGGGAAAGAATGCCCATCTCTTTATTCCACTGCTAATCCAAATCCTGAATATCTCTGGATGAAGATTATTTCGATAGAATGCTGAGAGAACCTTTCATAGACTAATCAAATTCTTCTGTTATACTTTTATTCTATTAGCTAAAATACCCTTGCTGATTAAATTCTCCTACAGTTTAAAAACACAGTTCTTTTTTCACTTAGTGTAAATAAAACTACAAAGTCCTACTATTCATCTGAGAAGTAAACCTTGCATAGAAAATTTCTTTAATTCTGAAATTGTTTTATTAACTGAGCTACCAGAATGTTATCTCACAACTAGTTTACAGCATATGAAAGTTCACTACAAAGCAGTCACCACATATTTAGGATTTTTCTAAATATAAAATGAGTGGGTTTATAAAAATGCTTACCAGACAAATAATTATCTCTTCATAACCTAGAAAGACGAATTATTTTTGTGATGATAGAATTCTTAGTGTTTTGGATGCCTTGATGTTCCAAGTTTGATGCAATATAAAAAGCAAACATTTACCTTTCCAGTGGACACAATCTGTAGTTGACTGAAAGCATGTTAACAGTGAGTTACAGCAATCAGTCATGCAAAAGGCAAAGAATAAAATCTTTTTAAACAGCACAAGTTTTCCACCTTAGACAAGACAAATTAAGCACTGGTTCCATCTTCTTCAATAACCCGATTCATGCTGGTGCCATGTGTGATGTGAGTCATGGGATTATTACTGAGATCTCTGATGCTGCTATGTCGTGACTGTTCATTGAGTCGATGAGAACTACTATGCCTGGAGTGATCTGTTAGTCGTGACATGCTGCCATGAGGTAGTCTCTCCTCCATTCCTCTGTAACTGCAGGGCGTGTACCTGTCACGAGAGAGTTTATTTTGAAGTGGGTAACAGAACACACTAGAAAATTAATAACACTAATAATTTTCATAAAAACGCCTCAGTAAGGGAAATTATTAGGAAACCAACCCTGAGAAAGTAATAACCAACTTTTGATTGCTTAACTTCGTTAACACTGTAGAATTATTGACATGGCCAACAAAAGAGAAGAGATAATCCACTCAGAATTAAGGTTCCATTCATTCTCTGCAAAAGGACAGAAGCTAAGATTAAATAAGGCTGATCGATTTAAAGCTGCACTAGATATGGATACCTTTGTCATTCAAATGAGTTTTGAACAGGGTGGGTTCACGGAGAGGGGTAACAACAAATAGAAGAAATGTGGCATTGTCCCTGGCAGCCAAGAAGAGTGGCTATGATCAGTAGACGGGTACACTCAAATTTTATTAAAAGACTGATTGGAAGAGGGAGAATATGAAATCAGAGGTGAAATCGGTATAACCTAAAAAAAAAAATAAATGAATAAACTGGCAAGCAATGATGACAGTATGTGCCGAAAGCTGCTTTCCAGATAGCCCAGTTAACAACTGAATTAACTACCTGTAAATTATCTTAATTACCTCTCATCAGGGCTTCAGGCTGTGAAGATGCTCCTTCATGGAAGCTACATCTGCTTGGAAGTTACGTCCTAACACTTTGTAACCTATATTCTGGCTAAAGTAAATTCTTTGTACCTTCAGCTCTAGACCCAGCTTGGAGTATGTGAGCTGGGCTCCCTCTGCTAACTGCAGGCTGTCTCCTTCTCTACACTTATCTTGGAAAGCAGCAATGGAGCTGTTAAATTTTCTTTTGTTGCAGTCCTGACTCACCAAGCTTTGCCATGAGGAATGAGATTAGCTCTAGGCCAGTCAAGGTCAGGAAAATCAATTATGACTTTTTTATTAGGCCTTTGCTTATGGAGCTAGCATGCTATTTATCAATGATTCTGGCTTCATAGTGTGCTCTTTCAAGGTAAGGACCATATTTTATCCTTTAATCCCTAGTGCCTCAAGAAGTATTTGTTTAAAATACTTTTTGTTTATACTTACACCTATACATATACCATTTTGTAAAAGTATTTGATTTAGGATAATAAACCTCAAAGAAACCTTAGTATAATCTATAACTTTAATTAACATTAAGTTTTAAGTAACGTTTCTAAAAATAATATATAGCAGGCTAGGTGTTTTTTTTTTTTTTTTAAACAGTCATCAAAAAAACTAATCATAAGCAGCTGCAGATCTGTTGGCTGTCAGAAAGCGTTAATCCACCATTCCTTCACAAAAATAATTGTAACAAATTTCATGACTCAGTGTGAATTATTTATAAAATTTAAAGATACATTCATACACCACAGTGGTGATCTTCTAGTAACATTTTCATTAGATCAGAGTTTAAAACTTGAGAAGTCCTTTGAAAATTATTTTTTCAAAAAAACATGTATTTTGGCCGGGCGCAGTGGCTCTGGCCTGTAATCCCAGCACTTTGGGAGGCTGAGAAGGGCAGATCACCTGAGGTCAGGAGTCCAAGAGCAGCCTGGCGAACATGGTGAAACCCCGTCTCTACTAAAAATACAAAAATTAGCTGGGCGTGGTGGTGGACACCTGTAATCCCAGCTACTTGGGAGGTTGAGGCAGGAGAATTCCTTCAACCTTGGAGGCAGAGGTTGCAGTGAGCCGAGGTCGCACCACTGCTACAGCCTGGACGACTAGAGCGACACTCTGTCTCAAAAAACAAAAACATGTATTTTTGTTTCAGTAAAGCAAAAAAGAAAAGTTAAATATGAAAAGATAAATATTTTAAACATTTCTCATGTTAATAGGTAAAATGTTATTTCTCATTCATTAAAAGATAACTTCATATTTAGGACCTAAAACAGTTTTAAAATTGTTCGGCATGTTCTGGTAAATAATGACAATGTTTGCAGATGAAAACATTTCAGAATGGACTTGTTATTCTAGTCTAATAATTATTATTTTGCATAATGGCTGTTGCCTTAAAACTGAGTAGAAGATTTTTCCAAGTTTCCAAATATGACTTGGCAGCTGATTTGGAGATCTTTCACCTCTCAATGGCTACCCAAGCGTCTGTCTCAAATAAATATGGCAAATGAAAAGAGCAAAATATGATGCAGTTTTCTAGTAATGATATAAAGTTATCTTTTAAAAATCACTATATAAAAATACAAGCTGAGCATTTTCTAAAATGAAATATAAAGCTTTGAGTTACAAAAACTCAAATAATATATTTTTCATAGAAAAATTTACTATATTGAATAATTTTATCTAAATTCCTTAAGTGACACATATGGCCATCCACAAAACATTTTAGAATATGAACAACCTGCCCATGGATAATTAAGAGTCAACTACATAGAAAAGTAAATTTAAATATACTGTTTAATCTCAACTGTATATGTAGGAATTACCAAGTTTATTTTTTGACAGTCATTTAAACCACTGTGACCACTGACTCTAAAACACAATGTGAAAATGTAAATAAATTTTAATATAAGCTTAGACAAAACAATTAGGATGGTTAATTTGCTGCTATTGTCAAAAAGATACTGTGGTGCCTTCCAAAGTCAACATAAAAAAGCCTTGAAGACAACTGACTCTTTTTGAGTTTCCATAGTTTTTGCTATCACTAATCTAAATAACTGAATTAACTGTAGTTTTACTAATACCTCCTTATTTATTCCCTAGCTTTTTCTTGTCATGGCACTCACTTACCAACCTAATCATTCATTCCCAAACCTCCACCTACCTACTTATTCACTTCCTTTTTCACCCACCCTCTCATCTAACCACCAATTACTTACTCTTTGAAGCTGACATATGTGTGTAGGTGTATTCACCTCAGCCTATTTTGTTTTATATAGCACAGAGATCAATAATTATCCAGCAAAGAATCTGGGCCAGAGTGAGTATTGGGAAGTGTGTGTGTGTGTATGTGTGTGTGTGTGTGTGTGTGTGTGTGTGTGTGATCCCACAGCCAATGAGATGATTAGAAAATGACCAAAACGTAGTGTTGACACACAAAGTTAAAAACTGACTGAAGCAGAAGGAAATCTCCATGAGATGGCTTTTCAAATTACGACAATCCTTGTTCAGACTTCTGGTTCACCATAGTCTTGGAATCTCTCAAATCTGCCCTAAAGTTCTAGGTACAGCAAAGAGTCCTACAGTATGAGTACTCGTGCGCCACATTACAAAACACCTTCAGTAGGGTGCCACTGTCATTCTGGCTCCTGAATTTCTGGGAAAAATCCACATTATTTCTAAGGTCATTATTTATTTGATAGATGTGTACATTCCCTACTATATACATGCCTAGCACTGTGCTAGATACTGTGAAGGAATGTGGTGTCACTTAGTTCTTATTCTCTAGAAGTTGCAAACTTAGCTGAGGAAAGACAATTATACAGAAAATAGATCATAACAAAAAGAATGATAAGCAATTTCTCTGACTCACATGCCCATTGTTGTTCTTCCTGTATTATTATTACTGTGAATATTTCCCAAGGTCTTGTTTTTGGCCTGTTGTTCTTTTTTTAATAGTGACTCAAGGGATTCTAGCTCACAATTTTAATTGCCAACTACCTCATATTGATGATTGTAAACTTTCTTATCTAAGCTACAGCTCTGTTCAGATGAGAGTGGCTGAGATCTATTTTTAACTGCCCTCAGAAATTCTCTACTTAATATAAACTCATCTTTTACTGTTCATTCACCCTACTTATCTCCTCTAAGATATTTTCATGAACCAATCTGACCTTTCTCTTTCCTGCAGTTCTACATCTATTATCTTTAACACTCACTGTCTTAATTATATCCTGGCTTGTGCTATTATTTAATTGGTTCATATATATATGTCTTATCTTTCCTATAAGGTTATATGCTCCTAGAATGCATAAATTACATGTTACTTTTCTTCCATACACATCTTATCTTTCCTATAAGGTTATATGCTCCTAGAATGCATAAATTACATCTTACTTTCCTTCCATATACATCTTTATACACAGTATGTCACATGCATAGATATACTATAAATAATTATTCATTCATCATTGAAAGGATAAGGCCAGGCCGGACATGGTGGCTCATGCCTGTGCCAGCTCTTTGGGAGGCTGAGATGGGGAGATCACTTGAGGCCATGAGTTCGAGACCAGCCTGACCAATGTGTCAAAATCCCGTCTCTAATAAAAATAAAAAAAAATTAGCTGAGTGTGGTGGCACACACCTGTAATTCTAGCTACTCAGGGGGCTGAGGCATGAGAATCGCTGGAACCTGGCAGGCAGAGGTTGCAGTCAGCTGAGATAGTACCACTACACTCCAGCCTGGGCAACAAAGTGAGTCTCGGCCTCAAAAAAAAAATAAATAAATAAATAAATAAATAAAAGAAATAAAGAAAGGATAAGGCCGATAACGTCAAATAAAGCTGAGTTCATGGAGGGTGGTGACTGATAAATATATGTTAAAAGAATTCTGATTCCCTCCCTCCTTATCAGTATTTTTAGCTGGGACCCCTAAATTACTGTAGAAACTTCCTAACTAGTCTTACTCACAATTTTCTTCATTCCGATGCTATTGCCAAGTGATTTTTCTAAAATACAAATCTGATTTTCTCACTTCAATGCCTGAAGTCCTATGATAGTTTCTCACTGCTGTCAGGGAAAAATGCAAACTCCTCAGTATGAATTCCTCTCCGTCAGTTGCCGAAACATGCAGTCTATGCTCTAGCCATACCCACGTACCTAACTACCTGCCTGTCTTCGTTGCCTCTGCATGTGCTGTTTCCTTGTCTTTAACTCCCAACTGCCTCCTCTGAATCCTATTGAAAGTAGAAGAGACATCTCTTGCGAAGCTTTCACTTTCTATGATTTATTAAATGGTTTTCTTCTCTGATATCCCAATGCACCCTGTATACATTTTTACTATACCTACTGAAGTGTCTTGTAATTGACTGTTTACTCTTTTGTCTTCCTTCTCTGTATCCCCAGCACTTAGAAGAATGCTTCTCATATAGGAGCGCTAAGTGGAACAAAAGGAGGAAGGAAGGAGAAAGGATCCTTGTGGTTAAAATGAAGTCACTGGTGATGTTAGACGGTACAGTTCAGGCAGGTAGAGAGGAGAAAAAGACTACACTTTCAAGGCATAAAGGATGGATTAGGAAGAAAAATATTCAAAATAGTTATTTCCAAAATTTAGCCAGGAAAGGAAAAGAAAATGGATACAAGATAAATCAGCATCAAAGAAAGACTGCTGCTCTTTTAAACGCAGGGTAGCTGACCAACAGAAAGTAAAAGAAAACAAGTTAAGAGGAAAAAACAGAAGATTAAAAAAGGAAAGTACACAGAATCAGATCCTACACTAGGAGGACAGGGAGAAGACTGAGACTGACGGGACAGAAACAGCTGTGGAAACAGATGTTTTCAAGTGAACACAGAATCCTGTCAGTTTCAGGTATTATAATTTCCATTCTTTCAGTTTCCCAAACTAGAAATCTTAAAACAAACAAACAAAAAAACCCCAAAAAAGTCTTTAGCACATTCCTTTTCTCTAGCTGCTAATATTAATTTCTTACCAATCTCTATCATTTCTTCTTTCTTCTTCTTTTTTTTTTTTTTTTGAGACAGAGTTTTGCTCTTGTTGCCCAGGCTGGAGTGCAGTGGCATGATGTCAGCTCACTCCAACCTCCACCTCCCGGGGTTCAAGTGATTCTTCTGCCTCAGCCTCCTGAGTAGCTGGGATTATAGACGCCTGCCACCACATCTGGCTACATCATTTCTTCTTTCTAAATATCTTTCAGGTCAGCTCTTCCTCTCCTCCCACTGCCACCATTCTCCTAAAAGCCTTTATCACCTCTCAAATAAATTACTGAAAAAATCCCAAGCAGTTTCTAATTCTAGTGTCTCATTTTTCAAATTTAACAAGAAACGCACAGCCAGGCTTCTCTCAAACATTTTCTCTGTGAAACCAACCTCTCCCCAGCCACCAGAATTAATCACTCCTTCCTCTATGCTACTACTGTACCTAGTAAACAGGGGTTGGCAAACTAAGGCCTGCTGGCCAAATCCTATTTTTGCAAATAAAGTTTTATTGGAATGCAGTTACTTCTATTTGACTACATATTGTCTACGACTGCTTTCATGCTACAACAGCAGACTCAAATAGTTGCAATGGAGACCATATGGCTCATAAGGCCTAAAATATTTACTATCTGACTCTTTACGGAAAACGTTTGCTAACTCCTGAACTATACTATCATACTTATATGTTGCTTTGTCAATTACAATAGTAATAAAAGCTGATATGAGGTACTCGCTGAGGCAGGCACTGTTCCAAGGAATTAGGTAGGCTATGTCATTTAATTTGTACAACATTATTAAAGAGGCAGATATTACTATTTTCATTTTATAAATAAGGAAACTGAGGCTTATCATTCTAGATCCATGTTCTAAACCACAAACTGACTACACTTCTTTCTAAATAGACTGTGAGCTTATTAAGAGCAAAGATCATGCCTAAGTCATCTTTGTATTCTTAGGGCCTAGCACAGTGCCAGATGTAGTAGGTGTTCCATAATTGTTTACTAAATTAGTCTTACTAAAATAACCACTTTTACCCAGTGTTCTCCCTGCTCAATCCCCTGCAATAACTCCCATATTGCTTACCGCATCAAATCTAAACAACTCTGACTGACTTTAAGTCTGACCATAGTCTGGACAACTCTATCTGCAAAGTTCAAAGGCTTAATTATGTTCAACTTCTATTTCAGAATTGGCTGCTCTTCTTTCTTAAGCTGTATGACCATAATTCAGCTTATGAAATAAACTACACTACTAACAAAACTCACCTGCCATCACGTGATCTGTGGAGGCTGCCGTGGTAGCTGCTCACTTTGCTGTGGACGCTCCCTGCTTTGCTTCTTTGATCATCCACCATAGCCAGCTGAGTTGAAGAAGCATGGGTGGATGTTCCTTGAGTGGAAGTTCCCCTTGACTTTCTTATGATAGGAGTATTTGGGTCCCTCAGGAGAGACTGAGCAAAATCAGGTTCCTGGAGTACCTGTCGGCTCTCATTCACTATCCTAGACAACAAAATAGTAAGTTTAACATACATACCAATCTTCCCACAGACCAATAAGCAATACTTCTGTGCAACACTGATATTATTCTTGAAATTAATTGCTCGCCAAATTAGATCTATAGGACTGATATGAAGAAACATTGTTGACAGAGGAAAGACTATAACAACAATCCATGTCAATCTGTCCCCTAAGGTTAAGTATGATGGAAAAAGGCCTGTGTTAGAATAAGGAAATCAGGATTTTAGTTCCAACTTTATCAACAAAAACGTGATCTTAAGCATGTCATTATCTCCTCTTCCTTTCATTTCTTCATCTATAAAATGAAGGTATACAATTTCATCATTTCTAAAAGGTCCCTTTCAGCCAAAGAAATTTGTCATTCTCAAGATACTGAACTATTATGAAGATATAACTCTAAAATAGAAAAATTGTTTTCTTGCATGGTTTATATAACTAGTAGAGGCTTCACTGTAGCATGGATACAACATTTAAGTTGTAAGAGCAGTTGTTTTAGTGTACGAGTTGATTTTATGCAGAAGCAGTTGTCTAGTGCTGGAATAAACATGAGCAGTCATAATTAGAATAAAACAAAATGAAAAATTAAAGTTACAATTAAGTCTCAGACATATTAGAAGCTTAAAGGGAAACATTTAGGGGAAAAATTATTGTCAAAAACAAAAAATTCTAACTGCTATCAAAGGATTAAGTAGAAAGATGGCTTATGATGATGAACAAGGCAGTAATTAATACATGAGCTAAACAGTTGTAAAGGTTAGTGTCTTGGATTATGTAAATAAAGGACTTACTATGAAAAATCATAAAGTTAAAATCAGATCATCAATTTTACTTCAAAAATAAAACTCCAGCATGTAAAGACAGGATCATATATTGAGAAATTACATATATTATAAATTTTCACATTACAAAAGGATTGTCATTATTGCTGTTGTTTTTCATGTTGGGGTAGGTGGGCTGAAGGAAGTCTAGTATTTATCGAGTACTTTATATATATTCTTCTTTGAATCCCCTTAATAATGTCATCATTACAGAGATTCATGTCCTAAGAGTGTATTTCTAAGGGAATATTGGATATCTATTAATAACAGACATTATAATCCCCATTTCATAGACAAAGAAACTAAAGTTTTAAGAGATTAAAGAACTTTCAAAAAATCACACAACAAAACCAACAGTCAAGGATCAAACTTAAGTTTAAAGTCTTAGAGGCTAATTACAAGGTGATGATAAAACAGTGTTTATCTATATCTGGAAAACAAAGTGTCAAAAACATGACAGAAAAAAGAACAAGTCAAAAATAGTGGGAAAAAAAAATCTGGATTCGTTCCTCTGTCATCAATGACCTTATTCACATATATACATACATCCTACCAAGTCATTCTTGGTTGTTGACTTTATTTTCTAAACTTGGTTAAAACTGACTTCTAGTTGTCCCAAAAGTTTAACTCACGTTCAAATGGTGAAGGTTTGTCCCCTCATTTTACAGATAATGTCCAGAGAAATTAAGTGAAATGACCCAGGTAATCCAAAAGAGGATTTCTAAAAATATTTAAATCTATGTCAGAATTATTAGCATAAGTATGGTCTTAAATCTGGCTTCACTTAAGGGGAGAACATTAATTTGATTAGCACAATGTTAGAAACGAGTCTACAGCATAGTATAACAAAGCAGTTAAAAGCAAAGCTCTGGAGTCAGACTGTTTGGGTTTGAATCTATATGTCAGCAATCACTTGTTATGAAATCTTGGTTCTATGCCTCAGTTTCCTTATCTGTAAAATGATGTCCTCCCTCACAAGGCTGTTTACAGCATTAAATGATTTAATGTGTAAAGTGCTTAGAACAGTCTTTGAGTATTAAATATGCCCAATAAATTAGTACCCATTATTATGATTATCTTATAGTCGTTTCCCAAAGGCTAACCAGACAAATGCTAGAAATAGCCAAAGGGTGCCCACACTCTTGAATGCCAGAATAAGGGGCTGCCACTCCAGCTCAGAGCACATTCTGGCTTGGAAGATGACAAGGACTGTTGGTTGGAAATCCACAGCTGCAGAAAACCAAATGGAAGGGCCCGAGAGTTTTAACCAGTTTCAAAAGGATTTGGGCCCAACCAGTATCCCCGCAAACTATCCAGGATAAATCTCTCTGAGGAAAGCTTCAGTTTAGCTCTATCTGAAATTTCTAATGCAACTCTATTACAGAATTATTTATATATGGCCCAGAGGTGTCCAGGAATGTTTAATTCAAGTCCTTTCCTCAGCATCGTGTTTTACTGTGATTACAATACAGTTTTCCAAAGAATATACAAATAAATCACAGTAAATCCCAAAAGGGAGGAAACTCTAAGAGAGCAGGGTCTTGGCCTGTTCTGTTTGCTATCAAATCACTGGTATCCAAAAGTAGTTGGTGGCACATAGTAAGCATTCAACAAGACTTTCTTTTTTTTGTTTTTTTTATTATACTTTAAGTTTTAGGGTACATGTGCACAACATGCAGGTTTGTTACATACGTATACCTGTGCCATGTTGGTGTGCTGTACCCATTAACTCGTCATTTACATTAGGTATATCTCCTAATGCTATCCCTCCCCCCTACCCCCTCCCCACAACAGGCCCCAGTGTGTAATGTTCCCCTTCCTGTGTCCAAGTGTTCTCGTTGTTCAAAGAATGAATATGCCTAGAAGATAAATGTTTTTGGTTGCTATTGAGTGAGCTCATCCCCTTCTTTCCTTCTCTGCTCTACGAAATTATATTTAAAGGAGAAATGCATGATCTGATATCACTAGTAGCAGTCTCAGATATCAGAATAAGAAATGTATACAGTCATCCCTCAATTTCCTCAAGAGAGTGGTTCCAAGACCCCCTGTAGGTACCAAAATTCGAGGATGCTCAAGTCCTTATATAAAATGGCGTAGTATTTGCATACAACCTCTTGTATACTTTAAATCACCTCTAGATTACTTACAGTACCTCACTTGATTTGCATAGATTCAGTGTAGTGCTCAGCATGCAGCAAATTCAAGTTTTGCTTTTTGGAATTTTCTTGAATTTTTTTTTCCCAAATATTTTTGATCCATTGTTGGTTGAATCCACTGATATGGAACCCCCAGATACAAAAGGCTGACTGTATATTAAACTGTGATGTTAATATAATTTGTGTAACAGAAATTGTTAATTACTGGTATTTTAGTGAATATAAACTTTATTAGTGAGGCAGAAACTAAAGTAACTTCAAATTGTATCATATGAGAAAATGACATTAACCAATACTAGGCACATTCTACATACAATTTTAAAATATTTACAGACTACCCCACAAAAAAATCATTCTTTCATGGATCCTAGGTTAAGTAAAATCATAAGAAATATACAATCCACTAACTCAGAGTTTGTGATAACTCAGATAGAGATACCTATGAGACTTAAAACTAAGTAGAGTCTGAAATCATTTGTTCCACTGTGAAAACTGAAGGGTGTTGTTTTGTTTTACAAACTAAGGTACAAACATTTAAAGATTCCTTAAATATGCCCTCAAATCACACTGTAATATGCAGTATGGCCAACTATGAATTAAACAACCTCTAACACATTTCAATTAATCTACTAATATCATTTTTCTATTTGGCTTTAACATGTACTATATTATAATGGAATAAGAATATTTCTTTATGTCACTTTTGGTACACTTGGAAGAATGATGGACAACTGGAGACAGAAGTTTATCTAGCTCTTATCAGTAAATACCTGTGTGACTTTGGCCAAGCACTTAACCACGATCTTGGTTTTCTCATTTGTAAAAGAGAGATAAGAATATATGTCAACCTTCAAAGGAATATCAGGAAGATCGGATAAGAATGTAGAGAAAAGCATTAATTTGCTTTTAAGAAAATTACAATTTGAATTTTTTTCACAAAGATTGGACTTCCTTCAAGTACTCTGAATTAGTACAGGAGGCTTGGTCATCTTCGGGACTACTTGGCCATCTTCTCAAAATAAGTTTTTAGTTTTAAATTAAGACATGCTACTATGCCAATCATAACTGGATACTGCTGAAAATGTTATAGTCTTGTTTGAATAATTCTCCAAATCCAAATCATTTTAACACAAGCAACACAAAAAAAAATTACGTAAATGTGAGGTTTGTGAACACTGTGATAATTTATTTCAACTTACTCTTTTTTCCTACGACCATGAAAAAAACTGGCCCATTCAAAGCATGTCTTTTTGCTTCCAACCCAAAATACAGAGGGAATGCCAACTATGAGAGCCATCAAGTATTTCATCAGAAAGAGAATCAAGTCTGGACGACTCATTTGAGTAACCTGGAAGAACAGAAAAAAAAGCATCTTAAATATATAAAAATAACTTTCTATTAAAGGCCATTATGAAATCTTTTTCTTCTTTTTCTTTTCTTTTTTTTTTTTTTTGAGACTGAGTTTTGCTCTTGTCACCTAGGCTAGAGTGCAATGGTGTGATCTTGGCTCACTGCAACCTCTGCCTCCCACGTTCAAGCAATTCTCCTGCCTCAGCCTCACAAGTAACTAGGATTACAGGCATGTGCTAACATGCCCAGGTAATTTTTGCATTTTTAGTAGAGAGGGGGTTTCACCATGTCGGTCAGGCTGCAGGTGATCTGCTGCCTCAGCCTCCCAAAGTGCTGGGATTACAGGCATGAGCCACTGCACCCGGCCCAAAATCTTTTAAATAAAGTAAGAGTAAAATAATTCTACAAATTTGATGTTCTCACTTATAAGGTTTTATAGGTAATTTTCTTATTATGTGGAAAAAACACACTCCTGAAAATTTGACAATAAATTTATACTCTATACATTGAGACATATCTATCTATCTAGATAGATATGATGATAGACATTTGGCTGACATTAGTCATCTTCTAAAATACGAAAGAATGAAGAGCATTTGTACAATGGCGGGGGAAGGGTGGTGGTGATGTAGATGAACTTTTTAAAAGAGTAATGTGAAAATAAGATGCAATAAAAGGAAAAGACTGATAGTTTTGACTATTAAAAATTTAAAACTTCTATAGAACAAAAAGCCTTAAATCAAATCAATAGAATAATGACTAACTAGAAATATCAATTGTATTATCAATCAATAAAGCAAACCTAAGGAAAAGAAAATGAAGAATAGACTGGGTGTGGTGGCTGTAATCCCAGCACTTTGGGAGGCTGAGGCAGGCAGATCACCTGAGGTCAGGGGTTCAAGACCAGCCTGGCCAACATGGCGAAACCCCATTTCTATTAAAAATACAAAAATTAGCCGGGCGTGGTAGCAGGCACCTGTATTCCCAGGTACTCGGGAGGCTGAGACAGGAGAATCAGTTGAACCGGGGAGGTGGAGGTTGCAGTGAGTCAAGATTGTGCTACTGTGCACTCCAGCTTGGACAACAGAGTAAGACTCTGTCTCCAAAAAAAAAAAAAAAAAAAAAAAGATAAAAGAAGAAATAAAGTATTTGTTAAGACAAAAAATAGCAGAATAACCCAAAGTTGGTTACTGAAAAAGGAACAGGCCAGACTCCAGTCTAATCAAAACAACAAAGGGAAGAAAACAGCAAATACACAGACACAGAAACGATAATAAACAGATGCAAATAGAGAAAAATTAAATAATCTTAAAAAGACTACTTTGCTCAATTCCATGCAAACAGACTTGAAAACCAATGGAAACAAATGATAGGAAAATGTAATTTAACAAAATTGACTCCAGAGGAAATAAAAAAATTTAAACAGATATATTATAGAAGAAATAAAGTTGTCAAAGAGCCACCTCCTCTCAGAAAGCACTAGACCCATGAGTTTCATAGGAAAATGCTAATAAACCATTAAAGAACACATAATTTCAAATTGTCTGAAAACACACAAAAAGAAAGCTATTAAAATTATTGATATAAAGCAAGAATAAAATCGTACTTAAAAAAGGCTCCATAAAGAAACTATTTATTTCTCATTTAGGAATTTGTATGCAAACAGAATTCAACAGCAAATTAAAAGAATAGGCCAGGACCAAACAGGGGAATGCAAGCATGGTTCAATATCAGTAAATTTATTTATAAATTCAACATATTATTAGATCAAAGGGAAAATATATGATCATCTTCATAAATGCCACAAAGGTATTTGATAAAAGTATTCACTCTTGATTTTTAAGAACTATAATAAAATACAAATAGATGGAGTCCTTAAAGACGCTATATATCTATATCACAATCCAAAAGCAAACATCATGCTTAATAGAAACACCAAAAGTCACCAGAAATATTTTCATTAAAATATGGGATACAAGAAGAGTATCTACTGCCACCACTCTTAGTTAACCATTTCAACAGCTCTAGACTGCAATTAGATAAAAGAAATAAAGGTTATAAAAACTAGAAAGGAGGAGGCAATGTGATCGTTATTTATAAATAATATAATTTTATACCTGGAAAAACTAAGAGAATAAAGTAAAAACTATTATAAATTATAAGCGGGGTGGCTAGGTATGAAATAAAATACACAAATAACTTTCACATATATAAATACCAATTAGTAGATATAAGAAAGAAAATTTTTCATTTACCATTGTTATGGGCTAAACTGTCTCCTCTATCCAAATTCATATGTTGAAGCCCTAACTCCCAGTACTTCAGAATGTGACTGTATTTGGAGGTGGGGCCTTCAAAGAGGGAATTAAGGTTATGTGGGTAGATCCTAACCCAATCTGGCTGATATCCTTATAAGGGGAGGAAATTTGGACATAAAGACACCAGGGATGTGTACACACAGAGAAAGACCATGTGAGGACACAGCAAGCAGGCTCCCGTCTACAAGCCAAGGAGAGAGACTTGAGAGGAAACCAAACCTGCCAGCACCTTCATCTTGGACTTGCAGCTTCTAGAACTGTGAGAAAATTAGTTTCTGTTGTTTAAGCTACCCAGTCTGTGGTCTCTCATTATGGTAGCCCTAGCATACTAATACAAACTATAACAAAAGAGACAAAACACCTAAGAATAAATTTAATACGAAAAATGATCTATTTGAAGATGTTTTAAAACACACCCCACTTCAAACATGTTTTTAGTTAGAAATAATTTATCATAAGAAAGGAGATTCTCCTTGATTTAGTTATCAAATTCCAAAATTCCAATAAAAATACCAAGAGTTATATGAGAATTAGACAAGTTGATTTTAAAGTTTATAGGGAAAAACAAACAAGAACAAACAGGAAAGTCCCGAAAGAGAAGAAAAATACATCATTAAGCTATAATAATTAAAGCTCTGTAATTATGGAATACAGTGTTTAATATAAGCAGTACTTAAGTGAGTGACATTTCAAACCATTCAGAAAAAATATGTTTATTCAATAAATGGATTCTGGACACGCTTCTAGAAAAAAACAGCTGTGAAGTCATACCATATTTCATACCTAGATGAATTTCTAAAAGATCAAAACTTCAGGCCAGGCGCAGTGGCTCAGGCCTGTAATCCCAGCACTTAGGGAGGCTGAGGCAGGTGGCTCGCTTGAGCCCAGGAGGCAGAGGCTGCATGGCGCCACTGCACTCCAGCCCGGGCAACACGGCAAGATCCCATCTCAAAGGAAATAAATAATTAAATAAAAACAAAAAAACAAAAATTCAAACGTAAGAAAAAAATTAACAACAAAAAACCCCATAAAGTTAAAGTTGTAGATGAAAGCTTTTATTTCGGGGAGAGAGATGAGGAGTTACTTTCTAACAATGACACAAAACTTAGAAGCCATCAAAAAGAGACAAGTGAGCCAAGCGCAGTAGCTCCCATCTGTAATCCCAGTGCTTTGGGAGGCCGAGGCAGGCAGATCCCCTCATGTCAGGAGTTCGAGACCAGCCTGACCAATATGGTGAAACCCTGTCTCTACTAAAAATACAAAATTTAGCCAGGTGTGATGGTGGGCGCCTGTAGTCCCAGCTAGTTGGGAGGCTGAGACAGGAGAATTGTTTGAACCTGGGAGGCAGAGGTTGCAGGGAGCTGAGATCATGCCACTGCACTCCAGCCTGGGCGACAGAGCTAGGCTCTGTCTCAAAAAAAAAAAAAAAAAAAAAAAGAAAGAAAGAAACAACTATGCCAGATAAAATCCCACATTTCTGCATGGCCATAACTATTGTTAACAGCAGCCAAAATACAATTAAAAAGCTGATATAAAATTGTTGCAAATTATATGGCAGATAAAAGGGCTAATTTCGTTAATGAATAATAAACTCCTACAACTAAAAAAGCCCATGACCCGAAGAAAAACAGGCAAAATATATCAACAATTTACAGAAAACAAAAGACAGATCTAGAGCTCAGACTCATAGTTAATTATATGCTGGTTCTACTTTTCAACCTATCAAATAGGTAAGATCTGAAAGTCTGACAGTATATTGCATTAGCAAATGTGTGGACGAATACTCTCATATATTGGCGATGGAGAGGTAAATTCATAAACCTCTATAAAAGACTATTTGGCAATATCTATCAAAGTTATGCCCTTTGATTAAGCAACTATTTTAAAAATGTATGCTATATATTCATATATATATGTGAAATGATGTATGTTCAAGTATTGTACATATATCATATACCAATAGTAAAATATTAGAAGCAGTATGATTTATCCACTCAATGGAATACCATGAGGGCGTGAAAAGATACTGAGGAAGAGTTTTCTCTTTTGGTATTGATCTCCAATATATCATTAAATGACAAGAGCAAGGTGGGGAAGTGTGTGTGGGAGCTACCAAGTGAGTAAAAGAAAGAGGGAGCAAAGGAATATACTTGTTTGTACACGCATGAATACCACTGAAAGAGGATATACAAATTCCTTATAAAATTCCAAGTAACCCTTGGAATTTTACTTGGAATTTTATAGAGGGGCACTGGGAAGCTGGGAAGCACAGGCAGTGATAGAAGAGAGACTTTTCCCATATACTTTTGTAGCTTTTGGGTTTCGAACCAGTAAAAACTTTTTTTTTTTTGAGACAGAGTCTTGCTCTGTCGCCCAGGCTGGAGTGCAGTGGCACGATTCTGGCTCACTGCAAGCTCCGCCTCCTAGGTTCATGCCATTCTCCTGCTTCCCAGAGTAGCTGGGACTACAGGCACCCGCCACCATGCCCAGCTAATTTTTTGTATTTTTAGTAGAGATGGATTTTCACCGTGTTAGCCAGGATGGTCTCGATCTCCTGACCATGTGATCCGCCCACCTCAGCCTCCCAAAGTGCTGGGATCACAGGCGTGAGCCACTACGCCCAGCCTCGAACCATTAAAAACTTTTAAGAATAAAAAAACAATTTAAAAAAATATATGTA